TACATGAGGCCGAGCCCAAATACAACAATACAAGCAATAATAACAACAATACAAGCAATTAAAAAACATAGACAATAAAATACACACGATTATTAAAAACTGTTTGCCTTAAAAACACAGCCATAACAAAGTAGAGCTTCCATGGGGAAGGCTAACAAAAAACGAATGTTAGAACTTTCAATGAATGAGACTAGAAGACGGATTAGAAATTAATTTGCAGTGCAGAGTGGTGCCACCATGTGTACAGAAGATATTATTACAAGTTCCAGTTATTTTAAAATCAGCAGGCAACTGTCAAAAAGTATTAGACAACTGCTTATTTCAAAATACAGGCAGACCCCGAGTTATGAACATCAATTTTACAAAAAACTCAATAGTCATGAACAGGCCTCTCCCAAAACTCCTTTTCTTCTTATCAATCTCTCCAAATCCATTTCCCTTTTTAGATACTCCGTGACCAACCTTGCACAAAATGACCTCAGAAGTACTTTATTTTATGGTTCGTGCAATTAAGTCCTTCCTCATCCCTGGATCCTCCTCCCCGATAATTTGCATTGCCCTATCACCCAGTGTTTTAAAATTTTATTTTGAATTTGGCCCTGCCCAGTGGAAATCTTTTGTTTTTTAATAGTTGATTTTATATTGTTGTGTCGTTTATTATATTGGTTTTGATTTTTATGTATCGTATATACTCGAGTATAAGCCGACCCGACTATAAGCCGAGGCACCTAAATTTACCACAAAAAAATGAGAAAACATATTGACTCGAGTATAAGCCGAGGGTGGGAAATGCAGCCGCTACGGGTAAATTGCAAAATAAAAATAGATACAAATTAAATTACATTAATTGAGGAATCAGTAGATTATATATTTTTGAATATTTACAAAAATGGTACTTTAAGATAAGATTGTCCAACTCTGATTAAATGATTATTTACCTTCTTCAATGTAAATGTGCTTATGTATCCTTCCAATAATAATAAAGTGAGTAACATAATAAATGTAATAACAACAACAACAATAAAAAGAGTAAAATAATGAATGTAGCAATAACAACAATTATACAGTAAAATAATAAATGTATAATAATAGAGTAAAATGATAAATGTAATAATAATAAATAAAATAACGAATGAAAATAATAATAATAATAATAATAATAATAATAATAATAATAACAACAACAACAGAGTAAAATAATAAATAATCTTGACTCGAGTATAAGCCAAGGGGCACTTTTTCAGCCTAAAAAAAGGGCTGAAAAACTAGGCTTATACTCGAGTATATACAGTATTTTATTTTCTGGTTTTGTTATGCTTTTGTGTTGTATTGTATTGTACTGATGGGCATGGCCTCATGTAAACCGCACCGAGTCCCCCTGGGGGAGATGGAGCGGGGTATAAATAAAGGCCGGAGGGCGCAGGAGGCGAGCAGAGAAGGCTCTCTGCCTGGCCATGACCATACGGAGGGCCTTACGCTCGCCTCTTCCGAGCCCGTCGGGGGCAAGAGGCGAGCATCGTGGAGCCTGCTCAATCCTCGCCCCTTCTGAGCTTGGCAAGGGTCAAGGGTCTGCGTGTGCCTTTGCCTCCAAGTTACTCCTCATGACTCCCTGCAGCCCTACAGGAAGAGGAGGACGAGCCAACCAGGAGTGTCTCGCTGTTTGGCTTGCACAGGAGCCGGCAGCCATTTTGGAGGGGGTGAGGCCAACCGAGGCAGTTTCGCGACCCCCGGAAAATGGCCCAGCGATCCCCTTGGGGGCCGTGACCCCCAGGTTGAGAACCACTGAGTTAGAAGAACATACGTGGATGAACCCAAACCAATTGAAATAGCCCACTTTATCAATGAAATGAGGACGAGGATAGAACTCTCTACTGATATAGAAAATATCAGCAAATTACAAGGAGATTCCATCTGAACATTAGGAAGTACTTCCTGACTACGAGAGCTGTTCAGCAGTGGAACTCTCTGCCACGGAGTGTGGTAGAGGCTCCTTCTTTGGAAGCTTTTAAACAGAGGCTAGATGGCCATCTGTCGCAGGTGCTTTGAATGCAATTTTCCTGCTTCTTGGCAGGAGGTTGGACTGGATGGCTCATGAGGTCTTTCCAACTCTATGATTCTAGGATTCTAAGATATACTTAATTCTTTGGGAAAGATGACAGTAGAAATACTTCAGGTGCAGCAGAAATTAGAGAACCTCGAATGTAAATCTCAAAAGTTGGAGAGGGCTACAAAGAAATTATAGTATATCAAGGATGAAGTTCAGGATGCACTGGTGATACTAGACCTACTAGAGAGGGAGAAAAGCTGATTTCTGTTGAATTTTTTTTTGCAAATTCCGCATAAATATTTCAGTTGGGAAATTAACAGGATTTATCAACAGAGTTCTCTTATGGCTAAATTGAGATGTAGTGGTTCTCACTCACAATTTAGTCGGCAGTAACATTCCCTAAACAAACAGACAACTGATGGTCAACAGATGATTTTTTTTAGAATTATGAAGAGAAGAAAAGGTTATATTTTCCAGACACAAAAAGTATTCCATTTAGATAGGAAAAACTGGAGGGGAGTCTTTCTCGGATTTCATAATAAGAGACTAAACAGTGCAAAAGATGAAAGAATTCTTGAAAATTTTTGAAAGTCAGGCTTGACACACATCAAAGGGAAAGAGAAGAGGACCAAACATGTGAAGAAGAAAAGACAAAAGCCGACAAAGATGTAGGATTAAAGGGATGAGATGAAATGATCAAGCTCTTTGATAATGGCTGATGAAGTTTTCTGAATTGCCAAGATGGTCAAATTCACTACGCTGATTAAGGAGGAAACACTGACTAACTTTAAGGAAAATTGGGACTTCTTCATTACTTTTTCATAACTTGGAACATTTGTTAACTGTAGGGTTCACGGATTTTGCTGGAATATTGCTTAAAGTAGAAGTGTGAAGAATAGGAATAGATTAGTGGGAAGTCTGTAGATCCTTTTTGTGCCTCTTGTTTTTGTGACTATAATAGATAGTATGTAGTTGTGTGGGTTTTTTTTTAGTTTTATATATCTAAAAAAATAACTAAATAAATATTTTGGCTTTTTTCTTTAATAAAAAATACTTTTAAAAATACCCACTAAAACAAATTCTAAAAATTAAAAACAAATAAATACCTATGCAATTTAAAGAACATCAACTAAAGTGGAGAGTGGTTAAGAATCTATCAATAAGATTAAAAGAAAATGTGTATAAAGTTATATGGAGATGGTATACCACACCGGTTAAACAACATCAGATGGATAGCAAGCAAAGCAACCTCTGCTGGAGATGTGGCATGCACAAGAGGACATATTTTCATTTATGGTGGGAATGCCCCCAATTGAAGTGTTTTTGGAATGACATTTTTATCGACATAGGCAATATTATAGGACTAAATATCACTCTGGATGCTAGGTTAAAATTACTAACGGATGCCACAAAGTTGAATTTAGAAATGGGAAAGAAAGAATTTGTGATTATTTTACTCACAGTGGCAAGAATTATAATAGCAAGGAATTGGAAAATAGTAATTAATCTTACACCGGAAGCCTGGTATAGAGAGGTATGGAATGTAGCCTTAAATGATAAACTATCAATGGAAATGAGGGTATTCAAGGGGGAAACTAGCAGATCAGATTCTGATGCATAGTGGTTGGTCTTTATTAAATACTAGCTTGGGGACCCGGCGCTGCCCGGGTTATTAGAGAAAGTGGGTAATGGCGGTTCTGTTCGCCCTCTTCCAAAGTGCAGCAGGATGTAGAGTGGGTCATGGGGGCTCTGTGTGCCAAGTTCGGTCTTTATCAGTCATTGGATGAGGGTTGCAGTGGTTTCAGTAAGTGAGTTACGGTACTGCAAGTCCCATCATCCATGGTCCATCCTCCTTCAAACTGCAGCAGGATGTAGAGTGGGTCATGGGGGCTCTGTGTGCCAAGTTTGGTCTTGATCGGTCATTGGATGAGGGTCAAAGTGGTTTCAGTAACTGAGTTACGGTACTGCCAGTCCCATCATCCATGGTCCACCGCAGCAGGAGGTCATGGGGGCTCTGTGTGCCAAGTTTGGGCCTCGTCTGTGATTTGTAGGGGCTATAATGTTCTGTGGGAAGTGAATCGGGTGAAGGTACTGCAAATCCCATCATTCGTGGCCCATCCTGCCCTAAACCGCACCAGGTTTTAAAGTGGGCTAGTGGGCCTCTGTGTGTCAAGTTTGGTCCTGATCTGTCATTGGTGTGGGCCCCAGTGCTCTAGGGAAATGATTTAAAGTAGTGCAAGTCCCGTCATCCATGGTTCATCCTCCCTCAAACTGCACCAGGATGTAGAGTGACAGGTTCAAGCCCCTTTCGTTTTCCCTGTCTGTTACCTCATAATGTTGGAATTTTGAGGCTGGCCAATCAGAGACCATATGCAAATTGTACCACAGTGGCAGCCAATCAGAACGTTGCCACATAAACCTCCCTCCCATCCTCCCTCCACATACAAACACTGACTTTTATTATATACATAGAAGATAGATACTTTAGAGAGTGAAAATGGAAAATGATAAAACCCTGTTGGTCAAGAATTTTGGATATGATATTTGATTAATGGTTGACTTATAAATATATGGCGAAGGAAAGGATACTTGTTTAGGCCTTCGTGGTGGGGCTATGTGTTTGTTTTTTTGTTTGTTTACAATGTAAGTTGTTAATGTATGTAAATCACATTAACTAAAGATCAACTAAAACATTTTAAATATAACAATGAAAATAAAAGTACACCACTATCCATTACAAGTTCACAGCAGTCAATGCTGAGAGCTCCTTTCCGGAACAGAATAAACAACTTCAAGAGTTTGTTAATAGTTGATATTCAGAAAGATTTAATGAATAAATTACATCTGTTATTAACCTTACACAAAGAAAGTTAAACATCACAAAAGGAGCCATCTTTGAAGAAGCAGCTTGCTTTCCTGACAGATAGAATGGCATAGTCTGAGTTGTGCTTACCTTTTTTGGTGTCCGGGCTTTGGAAGCTTTTGCTTTCTTTCCAGTCTTCTTGGTCCCCAAAGATTTCCTCCCTCTCTTCTCTGGAGAAGGTGAAAGGATAGTATCAGATTTGCTTTTGGTGCCTCGTTTTTTGGCAAGAAGCTCTGGGTGAATTCTGGGCAGAACACCTCCACTTGCAATGGTCACTCCTTTTAGCAACTGCAAAAAGAGGCAGTGTATAAAGATAGAACATATCTGAATACAAGTTCTCCTCATTCAGTTTAACCAGATGTATTTGTTGCCTTTTAAAAACAATTCACAGTAAAAAAAAACCAGAAAAACAAAAACAAGACTACCTTATAAGTGTTATCTTGAACACCTTGCAGGGTGGCTGGGACTAAACAACAAAACTAATCACATTTGATTTTTATGCTTTATATTATACTGTAACACTTATAACTGTATTGTTTTTTAAAGTTTCAAAGTTTCTTTTAAAAAAAGACTATCGACACTGACAAAGAAGCATCTATTTAGAAGTAATTCCCACTAAGATTAAAGTTGCTTACTCCTAGGGTAAGCCTATTTGAGTGCAGTTTGTGACATACTATTAGTATAACTGCCAATACTTTTTTTTTTTTGATGTGTCAGGAGCGACCTGAGAAACTGCAAGTCGCTTCTGGTGTGAGAGAATTGGCCGTCTGCAAGGACGTTGCCCAGGGGAAGCCCGGATGTTTTGATGATTTACTATCCGTGTGGGAGGCTTCTCTCATGTCCCCGCATGAGGAGCTGGAGCTGATAGAGGGAGCTCATCCGCCTCTCCCCGGATTCGAACCTGCGACCTGTCAGTCTTCAGTCCTGCCGGCACAGGGGTTTAACCCATGCACCACCGGGGGCTCCTACTGCCAATACTGCCCAGCCTACACATCAGATGAGGAGGATGGTGCACTACGTCTCATTACAGAATATTGGGGAATGAAAATGCAATATTTCAATTAAAAGAATTGAATGCAGAGCATGTTTGTTGTATAATACTTTGATAAAGACTTCACTTATTTCTACTAGGTGTCACCATGCTCAGTGAGCATATGCTCAATTGCTCTCTCTCCCAGGGAACCAACAATTCTTTGAATATACATATATACCTATTTTGGGGGAAGGGGAACAAAATACAAATTAAGTTTTTGAGTCTTCTCAGAACTTTTTTCAACTGTTATTTGTTTTTTTTTATAAAAAAAAACATTATTTTATCATGATTCAGTACATTTGTTATACATTGTTTGTTTTACCATACTTTAACTTTTGGCATCTAATGTTATTTTTCTGCTTGTACATATTATCTATCCCTCACCGCTGTGCTCCCCGCCCTCATTTCTTATACATTGTTCAATTCTTCTTGTGGAGGTAACTTTCCTTCTTTTTTAATCCTTTTTCAATAAATTTTCTCCATATTTCATCAAAATTACTTTGTTTCCATATACCTTTGTTTCCTTAAACCACTCCTCTATTTGTATATTTATTTCTCTTTTCCAGTTCCTTTTCCAGTTCTTTTCCAGTCTTGCTATTGTTAATAAATTTGTTATCGCATCTTTGTCCTCCTTTTTCAATTGTTTATTATTATATAATGATAATAAAGCTATACTAGGACTTCTTTCTGTTTTAATGTTTATTATATCTTCTATTTCTCTAAATACTTTCCCCAAAATTATTTACACATTTACATTGCCACCACATATGTATATATGTTCCTGATTCTTGACATCATCTCCAGCAATATTTTGAATAGTTTTTATTTATGTTTGCTATTCTTACTGGTGTTAGGTACCATTTCCATATTAACTTATAAAAATGTTCTTTAACCCGTATTGATACATTTTTAGATGTCTTTGTCTCCATAATTGCTGCCACTCTATTTCATTTATTTTTATCCCTAAATCTTCTTCCCAGACCTCCCTGAGGGTGTTATTTTTTTGTTTTTCCTTTCTTTATTTCAATTATTATCTTATATACTTTACTAAGTATTCCTTTCAAATTTTCATGCTCTTCTACAACCCTTCCATTTTGTATTATTTGTTCAAAATGGTTAAACTTACTTCCGTTTTTATTATTTTTTCCCCAATTTTTAAACCATATGCTCAGTGAGCATATGCTCAATTTCTCTCTCTCCCAGGGAACCAACAATTCTTTGAATATACATATATACCTATTTTGGGGGAGGAGGGAACAAAATACAAATTAAGTTTTTGAGTCTTCTCAGAACTTTTTTCAACTTTTATTTGTAATGCCCTTGAATAAACTCACCCATCAGAACAAGCAGTTCTTTGTTGAACAATAGTAGAAAGAAGATCACTTCTGCAATAACTGGGAAAGCATACCTGATTTAGCTCCTCATCATTGGCAACTGCCAGAAGAATGTGTCTTGGAGCAATTCTTCCCTTTTTGTTGTCTCTTGCGGCATTACCAGCTAATTCCAATATTTCTGCTACAAATAAATTGGGATACACCTCAGTTACACATAATATTGTGCATATTTATTTATTTTATTGAATTTGGGATACATTTGATTATTTTTTAACAATTACGGGTTAACCCTTATATCCATGAGGATATGTTCCTGGGCCTTGCATGGAAATGCAAAACCATGGATAATAACGAGCTATAATGAAATGAAAGGTATCAGGCCCTAGAATAATATAGAGCTCTGATGGCAAACCTATAAAATGCCTAGAAATACCATATTTTGTCAGAAATTGATAATGAATAGGGTTGTACAAAAATGTAGATGTGGGTCGTAAGTCTTAAAAGTTTTGTTAAATCCATACTTACGACCCGCTTTACAAAGACCACTCAACCCCCCCCCCCCCAATACAAACAAATGAAAACATCCAGTTTTCATAAGAGGTGCGTAACTTATAAGTCTCAGTGAGTCAGCTTATTCTTTCAGTACTAGCAAATTCTACTGTGCAGTGCATGCAAACATGTTAGGTCACATGCTCTCCTCATCAGGGCTGAGGGCTGAGAAAAAGGGAGGAGTTGCTCCTGCCGTTTCCAATAAATACAGCAGCCACAAGGGCTTGGTCACCATTGTGAGTACGCGGTGGAAGAGAGAAGGATAGCATGCAGACAGCAGAAAACAAATAGCTTAAGCTTAGCAATAGTGTACCACATGACTAGCTGAATTTGTCCGTTCTAGGCTTTTGTTACAAGGGATTCCTTTAGGATTGCCACAGCCAGGCTTAGGATTCTTTAAGGTTCATTTTCTTTGTGTGTGTGTATCCACATCTAGGATTCATTTTGGGTTTTTTTCTTTTTTATTGCGTTATTATTGTTGTTTTTAATTTGTAAAACTTTTTAAAATTCCTAAAAATCGGTGGATGACTGGATCTTTCTGAAAGATGGCAGGAATGATGCCTTGCTTCTCTTCTTAACTGAGGAAAAATTCCAGGGGTACCTCTTTTGGTTTTTTTAATGGTCAAATCTTTTAAAAATTCTAAAGATCTTCCTAATGTTTAAGTGGAATCTCTTTTCCTGCAATTTGAAACCACTGCTCCATGTTCTAGTCTCCAGAGCAACAGAGCAATTAGTTTGTATTGTTTTATTGCATTCTTATGTTTTTATTTATTTAATTGTGATGTTCGTTTTGTTTTTATTTTGTTGTAATGTCCTGTGGGCTTGGCCTCATGTAAGCCGCCCTGAGTCCCCTTTGGGGAGATGGTGGCGGGGTATAAATAAAGTTTATTATTATTATAACAGAAAACAGACTTGCTCCCTCATCAACGTTACATCCTTTCAAATTTAAAAAATGGCTCTTATGCCTCCTGTCAGCTTTCTTTTCTCCAAGCTAAATGTCAGGATTAATTTAGATATATGTGTGTTTTAAATGTGTTTCTATGTATTTCCAAGATGGATTCTACTGTGTTTTAGAAATGCTGTGCAGAATGTTTATTTTACTGAGGCTGTGACTATGTAACCTTGAGAGAAGTGAGATAATGTTTGCTCTAGCTGGGAACAGAAAGGAGTATCCCGTCTCAGCCAGAGAGAAGCAGATGTGCAAAGACTTTCGCTTTTGACTGTTCCTGATTATAGCTCGCTGTAGAAAGACGTGTCTGAATGTGCTTAGTAAAACTTAGTTTCTTTTGTACCTGAACTCTTGCAGAGTCCTTATTTGAAACACAGTGTCTGCTGATCTAGCAATCCTTCTGCTGCACATCGCCCAAACTCTGACACTAAACATAGCTACCCCCAGCCTTTCCTCATAGGGCTTGATTTCCAAACTCTTTCTCTGGATACATTCTGGCTTCACCATACAATCACCATGGAGACATAGAGATTTCTAGAGAGGTCTTCTACCAGTATATGTTTTACCAATATAAAGCTTTTCAGAGATACCGTACAAGCACCTGGCCCTTCCGTTTGCCATTTTACTGAAAATATATTCTTACCTGCTAGGTATTCTATGACAGCTGCCATGTAGACAGGAGCTCCCACACCTATCCGATATTTGTATGTTCCTTTCTTCAAGTATCGCATCATTCTTCCCACAGGAAAAATAACACCTGCTCTGCTGGAGCGTGACATTTTGGACATTTTCTTCTTTCCACCTCTGGCCGACATGTTGCCACCTTGAGTTTTTCAGTCCAATGGCAGACAATATTTACTTTACTTGTTCTAAATGCAAGACCTATAGAGAATAAAACAATTATTTATGTTGAATATGGAACATACCAAGCACTCTGAACTCATAAAAAAATTAGGAATTGAAATATGTCACAGATAAGTTGCAGTAATAAATTACTGAAATGAGGGAAATGACACTGATTGAACCAACTGGATTAAAACATGAAGAAACTCACAATCGAGAGATAATACTCCATTAGAGCTGGAAGTACAATTCCAAAATCAGTGTGCCGCATGATCATTCCTCCTATCTGATGTTCAGGTGTGACTGGCCTTGCCTGGGTATCTAAAATTACCACCCATACAACCGGTATCAATAGTCTTTGGACATTAGCATTGTTTACAGAAGTACCAAAACAAAAAAACAAAACAAAACAAAACAAAAAAGAAAAAAGTCAGGAAGAAAACATGAGGTGATAAGCCAATCTAATGAGGACTGAGCATGCAGGCTGGCCTGAGAATGCTGTCTATTGCTGGCATAGTAGATCAGGTAGACATCATGGTTAACGGAAGTAACAGAACACTGCAACATTTTGTTGCAGTTACCAACTGTATTAGTTTCCTTATGTTCTTACAACCAATCATAATCCCTGAATAGAAACTCCTATTTTCGAAATGGGTTCAAAATCCAGAGTGCCTCTTTTTTGCATATAAAACTGGAACGGCTCAAACTGTGTCCACTAAATTCCAACTTTCACTAAAGTTTGGGACAAAAGGTAACTTTCAATGTATTAAAGCAGAGTTTCTCAACCTGGGGGTCGGGACTCCTGGGAGAGGTCACGAGAGGGTGTCAGAGGGGTCGCCAAAGACAATCACAAAACACAGTATTTTCTGTTGGTCATGGGGGTTCTGTGTGGGAAGTTTGTCCCAATTCTATCATTGGTGAGGTTCAGATTGCTCTTTTGATTGTAGGTGAACTATAAATCCCAGCAGCTACAATGCCACAATGTCAAAGTCTATTTTCCCCGAACTCCACCAGTGCTCACATTTGAGCATATTGAGTATCCATGCCAAGTTTGGTCCAGATCCATCATTATTTGAGTCTATAGTACGCTTTGGATGTAGGTGAACTACAACTCCCAAACTCAAGGTTAATGCCCATTAAACCCTTCCAGCATTTTCTGTTGGTCATGGGAGTTCTGTGTGCCAAGTTTGGTTCCATTCCATCGTTGATTTATTTATTTATTTATTTACTTCATTTGTTGACCGCCGCTCTCAGCCCTAGGGCGACTCGCGGCGGTGTACAACATATAAAAACAATTACAAAAGGCAAGAACAACAATAACAATAATACAGAATAATACAATTACAACTAAATGGTCCGCTTCGATGGAGTTCAGAATGCTCTTTGTTTGTAGGTGAACTAGAAATCCCGGCAACTACAACTCCCAAATGACGAAATCAATCCCCCCTCCTAACCCCACAAGTATTCAAAGTTGGGCGTATCGGGTGTTTGTGCCAAATTGTGTCCAGTGAATGAAAGTACATCCTTGCATATCCGATATTTACATGACGATTCACAACAGTAGCAACATTACAGTTCTGAAATAGCAACAAAAATAATTTTATTGTTGGGGGTCACCATAAAACCGAGCCCCCGGATGCATTTTTGCGGGCCTCCCGAAAACGAGTGGGTAGTTGGATAGCCGTTTTTAGTCTGTAGCCGAAAAAAGCAGCCATATCCAGCTCACTGGTGGCAATGGGGAACATACAAGGCTCCCCTTTTCATTTCTGATACCTTTTCCTATTTTCCTTCAAGGTAGCCTGGGTGTCAGCAACGGGGTTAAGGGAGCACCCTATATAGCCCATTATGGAGGGAGAGGGGACTTCCCACAGGCTACCCTTCCATATCCTTCATTAAGTCCTCGATTAAAAGCATCAGAGTTAAGATACCACTCTGCGATCCATTCCCTTTTGTCTGTTTAATGCTTTGTTAAAGCTGTTTCTATTCTAGAGGAGAGGTGCGTGCTTTCTCTCCCTGCAGCAGTCACACAGCTTTCCATCCAACGCATTTTAAGGAGGCCCAGGAAAGGAAGAGCAATGTCCTGGAGCTATCCTCCCTGTACTTCCTTTAAAAAACCCTCTTTTTTCTCTATTGCAGGCCTTCCGCTTTCTGCTTCAGGTTTAATGCTTTGTTAAAGTTGTCTCTACTTTCTTCTCTAGGAGAGGTAAGTAGGTGTTAGTAGTTTTCAGAGAATTAGGGTTTTCTTTTTGTTTGCTGAGATCAATAATAAATATTATTATCTTCTAGAAGTATTTATTTATTTATTTATTTATTATTCGAACTTATATGCCGCCACTCCCCTAGGGCTCTGAGCGGCTTACAAGAATGACTAAAATCTAACACAATTTAAAAACAATTTGAAGGAGAGGAAGGGAAGGAGAAGAAAAAAAGCTAAAAGGATGACTCTCACACGCCCCCAAACACATGTGCAGACCCCACCCATTCGTCCTGCATGTCCCCAACTCCCAGTCAGTCCCACTAAATAAAAAAATAAAGGAAGTAAAGGAAAATCAAAAAGATTAAACTGTGAATCTGAACAAGGAGGAGCAGCCATAATCGGCTGTCACATGGTCCTCTTATGGATGGAAATCTGTGACAGCTGGGCCCTTGCCATTATGGACACCCGGACTAACAGAAGTTGCCGGACTGGCCGAAAGAAATGGCTAAAAACGGATTCGCGTTCAAGTCTAGTCCCTGCCCAGAAGCAATAGTTGGAGATATGTATGGATACCATCTCTTCTCTCTGTAGCAGAACCTCACATCTCACCATACCTCCTCAGTAAACTGTCATTACATACACTTGAAAGCTGAAGGGGAATGTCTGTAAATGTTATGCAATGAGATACCGATTGTGCATTATGCAAAGAGGTATTCAATACCTCCTTCTCAATGTTCAAAGGTCTAACCTTACATGTGTGTTATGTCACCAATATGGTTCCAGTCTAGAAGTCCAGCACTTCCAATTACACCCAGTTAATAGTTAACATCTGCCTGAACGAAGAAGTCTCTGCTGGTGAAAGGTCAACAGGGATGAAGGTGGCCTAATTTTTATGGAATAGCATCATCTAGAACAGGGGTCCTCAAACTAAGGCCCGGGGGCCGGATGCGGCCCTCCAAGGTCATTTACTCGGACCTCGCTCAGGGTCAACTTAAGTCTGAAATGACTTGAAAGCACATAACAACAATAACAATCTTACCTCATCAGCCAAAAGCAGGCTGACATTTCCCATTAAAATACTCATAAGTTTATATTTGTTAACATTGTTCCTCATTTTAATTATTGTATTGTTTTAAAGTGTTTTTTACACTACAAATAAGATATGTGCAGCGTGCATAGGAATTCATTCATTTTTTTTTCAAATTATAATCCGGCCCCCCAACAGTTTGAGGGACTGTGACCTGGCCCTCTGTTTAAAAAGTTTGTGGACCCCTGATCTAGAAGCCCATCTACACTGACCATTGGATGCAGTTTGAAGTTAGCTTCCAACTAAGGTGGCCAGACAACAAACTCCACCAAAAGTGCATGAAAAAAATGCATTTAATGCATCAGTGTTCTGTAATTTGTGTAATCACCATCCAGGCTTCAAACTGGTTCCAGGATTTCCTATGTAATTATCTGCAAAAGTGAAACCACTTTATTCAATACATGTTTGAAACTGAATTAATTAGGAAGTGTAAATGGGGCCAAGGAGTAAGCACCCAGAATTCTTCAAGGTTCCCATCAATTTCGAAAAGTATTGGGATCTAAAGAAGACTTCTCTTGTAATTTTTAAAACCCAGGCAGCCTTACATGGGGAGGTGCAGTCATTCAAATAACAATTCAAGCATTAAATCAGTTTTTCCAAACTGTTTAAAGACATGTTAGCATGTTGACTGCAATATGTAGGTGTCACACAAAGATAACGAGAAATGACAAAGTCTTGGAAATGTCATGCCAAACACATAACCTTGGTGGTGTCTACAGCCAACACCGGCTCTTTGGCTTAAAAATGGCGATGAGCACCACTCCACAGAGTTGGACACAACTAAACTTAATGTCAAGGGGAAACCTTTACTATCTTAGAAATCATATTTTAAAAATATAAACGAAAGGCTTTCATGAGACACATTTTGTAATGACAATTTATGTATGCATCCATATGTCTTATGTAGGGTTGGTTTAATCTCGTTTTGTAGTAAAACTGGATTACTGTGTTGTGAAATGATGGTGATGTGTCACCAGCATGAAATGTTTGGAGACTTCTGCACTAAATGGCACAAACAATAGTCTCCCGATACTAAAACAAACAAAACAAGGTCGATGAAAGCTACAAATATATGTTCTTTTAAACTGATGTTTGAGCTGAGTAGCATGTTTTCACTGATTGTATATGTTGCTATTATCTGCTTCAATCTGTGGGGAGAGCCAGGTACAAAATAATAACAAGTAGACTCTCAATTAACTGGAACTCTCAAGCAACCAGCAAAAATAGAAGAAATAATACTTTAAATGAAAAAGCTGTTTTTATAATGCTGGTTCAGGTTCAGGCTATTTGGCTGATTGTCCTAATGTGCCCATGCCCTAAGATCTTCAGGAGAGACACTTCTCTTGGTCCCACCTCCATCTCAAGCCCGGTTGGTGGGAACGAGAGAGTGGGTCTTCCTTCTCAATGGAAGCCCCTCAACTCTGGAACTCCCTGCCCAGGGAATTCAGAATGGCTCCCTCCCTGCTGTCCTTCAGGTGACAGGTTAAAACCCCTTTATTCAAGCAGGGTTTTAAAAGATTAAGATTTTTAAGATCCATCAGGGGATGCTGTGATTTTAAAGGCATTTAATTATGCTTAATGGTCTTTTAAAACTTGTATAATTGTACATTTTAAGTTGCATTACACTGTTTTCAGTTGTAAATCACTTTGAGTCTCCGTAAGGAGAGAAAAAGTGGGATATAAATAAAAACAAAAATAATACAGTAAAACAACATGACATTACATTATCTGTATTTGCTTTTAATTACTGTATTTCAAATATTAATATCAAGTCAATACAGAGTTTGCGGTAGAGCGTATAGCATTAATTAGGCCGCTTTTTAAAACAGTAACCCTCAAGCAACCAGAAACTACATTAATTGGGCATCTACCAATCCCCACGGGAGCTGGTTAACTGAGAGTCTGCTGTAATAAGACAAGTATTGTAATAATATTGCAAGTACCACACAACTTTATGCTCTATTGAGTAGCACTACTCATATTTTTGAATCCTCATTTCGGGGGGGGGGGGCAGAAAGAATGGCGCTTCTTCTAGCCTTTCATTTGCTGTAAGGAAGCTATTGCTTTAAATGGGTTGGAAATTTTAATAATAATAATAATAATAATAATAATAATAAAACCTGTATTTGTATCTCTCCCTATCTCCCCAAGGGGACTCAATGCCATAATAATAAAAACATTGCCATAAAAATTGAATAATGATATTACAAAAATTACCTTCCACATCTGACATCCTCTCTCTATATCCACTCATCCATCTCTTATCCATCTCTTTCACTTTCTCTCGCTTTCTGTATCTCTCTTTGTATCTTTCTCTTTCTACCTATTATATTTAACTCTTCCATATCAAATAGATATAGCATATTTTTGCCTTCTCAGCCCCTTGTGTTGTATTTTTCAGTGTTTTTATGACCTAGTAAGTGTATTGTGTCCAAATGTGGTGTCAATTTGTCCAGTGCTTTTTGAGTTAAATTAATCCCACAAATGAACATTACACACACACTAGCCGTCCCCTGCCACGCGTTGCTGTGCCCCTGTCTGTATATATGTTTTGTGTGTGTATATGTGTATATATCTCTATCTATCTATCTATCTATCTATCTATCTATCTATCTATCTATCTATGCAAACACACATATAAGCAAATATATAAATAGATGGGTGTATATTTGTGCCACCAAACCCTTCCAGTATTTACTGTTGATCATGGGAGAACTGTGTGCCAAGTTTGGTTCAATTCCATCGGTGGTGGGTTTCAGAATCCTCTTTGATTGTAGGTGAACTATAAATCCCAGCAACTACAACTCCCAAATGACAAAATCATTTTTTTTTGAGTGAAGGACATACATTGGGTTGTTAGGTGTCTTGTGTCCAAATTTGGTGTCAATTCCCCCAGTGGTTTTTGAGTTCTGTTAATACCACAAACAAACTATATATCACTGGGGGAATTGACAACAAATTTGGACACAAGACACACACACATATATATATATATATACACATACATACACACATATATGTTCGCTTGTGGAATTAACAGAACTCAAAAATCACTATATACAAGAATAGTGTGTGTGTATGTGTATATATAATAGTATATATAATATATATATATATAATAATATATATAATATATATATAATAGTATATATAATAGTATATATAACAGTGTGTATGTGTGTTATATATACCGTATATTCCGGCATATAAGACGACTGGGTGTATAAGACGACCCCCAACTTTTCCAGTTAAAATATAGAGTTAAGACGACTCCCATGCATAAGACTACAGCCACGTATAAGACGACCCCTGACTTTTGAGAAGATTTTCTTGGGTTAAAAAGTAGTCTTATATGCCAGAATATACTGTAGTTCGTTTGTGGTAATAACAGAACTCAAAAACTCAAGAGCGCGGCCCTGCTCTTGATAGATATGTATAATATACACAACTCTCTGGCAGCCCCACCCCCTCTGTGGCTGGAATGGTTTCCATTTTGAAATATATATATAAAATGTTCGTTTGTGGTATTAACAGAACTCAGAAATCAGTGGTGTCAATTCCCCTAGTCTCTTTCTTTCCTTCCTGATTTTTGAGTTCTGTTAATACCACAAACGAACATATATATATGTGTGTGTGTGTGTGTCTTGTGTCCAAATTTGGTGTCAATTCCCCCAGTGATTTTGGTGTCAATTCCCCCAGTGATAGATAGATACACACATACACATACACACTATTTAACTCTCCCAGCATGAATTCACCCTAACCCTAACCCTTCCCCTTCCTCAAATTGAAAAGCGCCACATTACCAACTGATTCGATTAAACAGGTGAGGTTGTAAAAAGAATGCCCCCTGGAGAGGGAAGGGCCAATGAGAAAAGTCCCCCTCCCTCTTTTTAAAGAGCGCGCGCTCAAAAGCCGGACCGTTGGAAAATGCGCGCGCCGGCCGCTTTCAAAAGGGAAGCCATTCCATCCACGGAGGGGGCGGGGCTGCCGGAGAGGTGTGTATATTATACATCTCTCTCAAGAGCAGGGCCGCGCGCGCTAGAGCGGTGAATTGTGGGACGCCAACGCCGATTCTGTTCTTTTTTCCCGCGCGAATGGGCCCTGTCCTTTCTGTGTCCCCCTCCCCCAGCCTCCTTCCCTCAGCGGAGGGGGGAGTGGCGGTGTCGCCGTTAACGGTCGCCTCAGCGCCCCGGAAAGGGAAGCACGCCGGGGACGTGACCTTCTCCTCCTCACCTCTCGCTCCCCCTTGGGAAAGAACGAGATGGGGGAAGGAAAGAAAGAAAGAAAGCCTCACAAACGAACGCGCCTCAGAAACGAGGCTTCCTTCGCTCTCTGGCCCGCCACACCCCCCATAAGCGCCTCACTCGAAGCCGGTGTCGCTGGCCGAGGCAAGGCCGCGCCTCCTTCACAGAAAGGCGCGTTCCCTGCGCCTCGGAGTGGCGCCGAGGCCTCCCTTGGAGGGGTTCCCTGCCCGGGGCCTTCTCTCCCTCCTTCCCCGGCTCACCTGCCCTTCTCCGCGGAGTGCCGCAGTGCCTCCTTCCTACCTCGCCTCGCCTCCCGTCGCGGGGATTGTATGGTTTCAATGGCGGCGGCGGCGGCTCTAGAGGCCGGTGGCTGGGAGCGGAGGGGGGATCCTTCTCCACATACCACCTCTAGGAGGAGTCACGGCAGCAGCAGCAGTCCTCCGAGCGAGCGCCCCCGACGCCGGCCTTCGCCACAGAGACACAGAGAAAGAAAGGAAAAGACAGGCAGGCAGAGGCGCACACACTGAGGAGGAGACTCAGAGAGGCCAGGTCGTCCAGGAAGCGGCCAGAGTGATAGAACATTATAATATGCTCATCATAATAAAACTTTATTTATAACCCGCCACCATCACCCCAAGGGGACTCGGGCGGCTTACATGAGGCCAAGCCCAACAATACAATATAACAGTATAACCAAGGCAGTAACAAAGTAAAATAAAATGCAGTACAGAAACCCATTATAAATAACATATGAACAATAAGACACAACATTTAAAAACACAAGAATCCAACACCCTGGGCAGGGCCAATTCCAATTAATTTTTTAAAACACTGGATGTGACAGCAGAGAAATTGTTATTTATTATTATTATTAACTTTATTTGTACCCCACTAGCATCTCCCGAAAGACTCGATGCGGCTTACAAAGGCCAAGGACTCAATAAAACAATAGTATAACAAATACAATTCAAAGCAAACCAAAAACATCAAAGCAATAACAGCAAAACAACAAAACAATACACCATAACACCATAAAAACAGGGCCGGGCCAAAAGTAATGGGTACAGATTAAAAGTGCTGGGTGTGACAAGTGGTCTATCGGATTTCAAGGAAGTGCAATGTGCAGAGAATCTTAAAATTCTGATAAAGTGCTTCTGGGACTCTAATGAAGTGCTTACTGGAGTTTCCTATTCTGGAAAGGCACATCGGAATAGCCAGGTCTTCAAATTCTTCCTAAAGATAGCCAACGTGGGGGCCTGGCTGATGTCTTTAGGGAAGGTGTTCCAAAGTCGGGGGGCCACCACAGAGAAGGCCCTGTAACTCGTCCCCACCAAACATGCCTGCGATGCAGGTGGGATCGCAAGCAGGGTCTCCCCGGATGAACGAAGAGAGCGAATGGGTTCATAAATGGAGATACGGTCACGCAGGTAGGCAGGTCCCAAACCGTTTAGGGCTTTGTAGGTGAGCACCTGTACCTTGAATTGGGACCGGAAGATGAACGGCAGCCAATGGAGCGCCTTAAACAGGAGGGTTGACCTCTCTCTGTAAGGAGCACCAGTTAACAACCTGGCCGCCGACCGTTGGACAAGTTGGAATTTCCGAGCCGTTTTCAAGGGCAGCCCCACGTAGAGCGCATTACAGTAGTCCAATCCAATTAAAATTTTAAAACACTGGGTGTGACAGCAGAGAAATGAGTCTGAACAGGGGTTATAACAGGGTTGTTCATTCGTTCAGTTGTTTCCGACTCTTCGTGACCTCATGGATCAGCCCACGCCAGAGCTCCCTGTCGGCTGTCACCACCCCCAGCTCCTTCAAGCTCAATCCATCACTTCAAGGATGCCATCCATCCATCTTGCCCTTGGTCAGCCCCTCTTCCTTTTTCCTTCCATTTTCCCCAGCATCATTGTCTTCTCTAAGCTTTCCTGTCTCCTCGATGTTGCCAAAGTACTTCAACTTTGTCTCTAATATCCTTCCCTCCAAGGAGCAGTCTGGCTTTATTTCCTGAAGTATGGACTGGTTGGATCTTCTCAGTCCAAGGCACTCTCAGAACTTTCCTCCAACACCACAATTCAAAAGCATCTATCTTCCTTTGCTCAGCCTTCCCTATAGTCCAGCTCTCACATCCATAGGTGACTATGGGGAATACCATTGCTTTTACTATGTGGATCTTGGTTGCCAGTGTGATGTCTCTACTCTTCACGATCTTATTGAGATTGGACATTGCTCTCCTCCCAAGAAGTAAGCGTCTCCTGATTTCCTGGCTGCAGTCTGCATCTGCAGTAATCTTTGCACCTTGAAAAACAAAGTCCGTCACTGCCTCCATGTTTTCTCCCTCTATTTCCCAGTTGTTAATTATTCTTGTTGCCATAATCTTGGTTTTTTGATGTTTAGCTGCAACCCAGCTTTTACACTTTCTTCTTTCACCTTGGTAAGAAGGCTCCTCAGCTCCTCTTCACTTTCGGCCATCAAAGTGGTATCATTTGCATATCTAAGGTTGTTAATGTTTCTTTCAGCAATTTTTACCCCAGCCTTGCATTTGTCAAACTCTGCACATCGTATGATGTGTTCTGCATACAAGTTGAATAGGTTGGGTGAGAGTATACAACCCTGCCGTACACCTTTCCCAATCTTGAAATCTATTAGAGGGCAGGTTAGGGTTAATTGCCCTAACAGGTCGAATAAAGTGCTTCAGAGAACATTTTGCAGATAATTGGTCAGATCAGGAAATTATTAGTCTTTCATTCAGGGAAGGCACATTTGAACAACCGAGTTTTCAAGCTCCTAAAGACCGCCAATGAGGAGGCTTGCCTTAGGGAGCCACTTCCAGAGTCAAGGGGCCACCACAGAGAATGCCCTCTCCTTCCTCCCCACAAGTCGCACCTGTGAAGAAGGCAGGACCCAGAGAAGGGCCTTTCCGGATGATCAAAGGGATTGCGTGGGTTCATGAATAGAAATGTGGTCACGCAAGTAGGCGGGTACCAAACCATTCAGGGCTTTGTAGGTAAGAACCTACACCTTGAAATGGGACCGGAAAATAAACAGCCTGTGGAGCTCTTTAAACAGGGGGGTTAATACAAACAACAGTTGACCTTTGTCTCCATTATAGTTGCCAAGCAGTTCCTCACCATCATTCTCATTGTCCTTCCAAACAGCCAGATCACCCAGAATATCAAGGCAGCTCATCCACAAGATCTGCTTTGAACTGCGTTATCTGAGTCCACACTGCCATATAATCCAGCTCAATGTGGATTTATACAGCTGTGTGGAAGGGGTGCCAGTTCAAAGACAATATTGTGGATGATCTGTCTTGATATTCTGGGTTATCATGATACCACTTTGATTGTTAAGGAAGTGGCCTGCAAACTCTTAGAAAGAAATGCAATCATTACTAATGTTCAACACAGATTTATCAAAATAATAATATAATAACAATAAAACTATCTCCTTGAGGGGGACTCAAGGTGGTTTCCAAGTAACATCAATGAAAAATACAAAGTAAACAGCATAACATAAAATTCATAAAACAATATAAGCATAAAATTATCACAATAACACATGTATATTAAAAACAATCCTGCCTGTTCAGAGCAATTAAAAAGCCGGGCCAAAGCTAATGCAAACTCAAAATACGATGGGACCAGGAATTAAGTACAGTGTTATAACAGGTTAACGGCAATAGCAGGTACGGGTCTGTGGCTGCTCATTTTCAGGGCCTATTAGAGGGTAATTAGTAGGGCTGGGCAACCACGGAAAAATTTGTTTCTAAACTCGATTCGTTTTTAGGGGGTTTTTGCGTTTCGATTTTTAAAAGAATTCCGAAAATTTTCTTTAAAAAAGTTCGAAATTTACAAAATTTCGGAAATTACGAAACAATTACGAAACAATTACGAATCAATTCGTTAATGGCGGACGCGACTGCGCAATATGCTAAAAAAACCTCCAAATGGGACAGGGGGAACTTCTGAAGCTTCCCTCTTCCTCTGTTGTTGACTGTTGGTGTGATAATTTATTTTTTTATCACTRAKAAAACAAACAACAACTATAAAACTTGCACCAGACATACGGAARTAATAACGAAACAATTTCGAAACGATTTYGAAACAATTACGAAACAATTACGAAATGAATTGAAAAATTCGTTTCGATTTTTAGTTGCTCCTGAATGGTTCAATATCGGTTCGTAAGCTAATTTAAATACRAATCAATAACGAATTACGAAATTAACGAATGAAACCGCCCAGCCCTAGTAATTAGGTATGAGTGCAAGGCCATATTCAACAATGTTTGGGTTGGACTAGAACTGGTCATTCTCAAAGGCTTGTTGAAACCACCAAGTCTTCAAGCTCTTACAAAAGGAGGAGCGGGATGTGGCCTATCATTTCCCTTGGAAGGGCGTTCCAGAGGYGGGGTGCCACCACCGAGAATGCCCTCTCAATCATGCCAGACTAATCCAATTTCTTTTTTCGATAGAATTACAAACTGGGTAGATGCAGGGAACGCCGTGCATGTAGCGTATCTGGATTTCAGTAAGGCCTTCACGGTAATGACCTTCTGGCAAACAAGGTAGTCAAATGTGGGCTAGGCAAAGCTATGGTTAGGTGGATCTGTAATTGCCTAAACGAACAAACCCAAAGGGTGCTCACCAATGCTTCATCTTCATCCTGGAAAGAAGTGACGAGTGGAATGCCATAAACTGGGTTCTGTCCTGGGCCAGGTTCTGTTCAACATATTTATTAATGACTTAGAGGAAGAGTTAGAAGGCATGATCATCAAGTTTGCAGATGGTACCAAATTGAGAGGGATAGCTAATATTCCAGAAGACAGGAGCAAAATTCAAAACGATCTTAACAGATTAGATCAGCATGGGCAAACTTTGGCCTTCCAGGTGTTTTGGACTTCAACTCCCACAATTCCTAACAGCCGGTATACGGATCTGTGGGAGTTGAAGTCCAAAACACCTGGAGGGCCGATGTTTGCCCATGCCTGGATTAGAGAGATGATTGACCAAAACTAACATAATTAAGTTCAACAGGAACAAATGCAGAAAAAATAAAATGCAAAGATACAGAATGGAGGATTCCTGGCTCGGCAGCAGTACGTGTGAAAAAGATCTTGAAATCCTCGTAGACAACAAATTAAACATGAGCCAACAATGTGATGCAGCAGCTAAAAAGCCAATGGGATTTTGGCTTGCATAAATAGAAGTATAGTGGGGCAATAGCATCTGCTGTTGATAGGGTGTAGAAAACCAAGGAGCAAATTCAAACAATTGGTAATTGTTAACACTATTGTTTGACTAGAATATTTAAAATGTATAGGTAAGATGATAATCTAATTGCTTTATTTAAAATTGATTTTGACAGAATTGTTTTATTGAACTGTATACTGCATATTGCTTTTGTTTTTAAACTGATATAATAGGTTAGAACTGAGTAAGTATTGATAAGACCAATTATTAATTCAAATGTTATTT